ACTTCATTATAATGATCAATAATAAAGTCTTATCCTTCAAAAATGTGTATAAAAAAGAAGTGTGTCTTGTAGGCCGGTGCGTCTTATACGCCGGCAAATATGGTACTTCAAAAGTACAAATATGTCCCTTTTACTTAAATTAATTTTTTAATTGCAACCTAATTCTTTTAGTCAGAAAACATTTGTCTTAAATAATTAAATGAGAGCTCTATCTGGGAACAGAGCTGCAACATAAATTTTACGATTTACGTTCATGCCTATCTGAATAGATTTAATTAAATATATTTCAAACAGAATTTACATGCAAGATGTTTCGTATTTTTGTCTTTATTTCAGGTACAAAAAACCTTACACATCGCATCTTAGAAAGTCAGAAAAACTAAAAATAATAAGACTAAAGAATAAAACCAAAAATCAAAATTACAAAAAACGTGTTCCGAAGTATTTTAGCCCACTTCTCTCTCTCTCTCTCAGAAAAAAAACAGATTCTTCAATATTATAAAAATTCTTCAGAAAACTCTTTCAAAACAGATTTATGGAATTCAGAATCATTCTCTCTGAAAGAGATAAGTATTTTATTAAAAGCCTTGTAATTACACTAAGAAGGGGTTTAAAAGATTAAGGAGTCACAGAGTTTCTCGCATAAGATGAAAAAAAAAGAAAGAATAAATATGAAGGTTAAAGTTAAAACAACGATAGAAATTAAAATCTAAATTTATGAATAAAACGTCGAAATGAAATCAAATATCCGTTTTTTCTAATATACGAATCATAACATTAATTTATTGCACATAATTCTACGCTGGGAAAATAAAAAACTATTAAGTAGAATGTAATTTAATTAAAAATTATCAAGTTCTATAGCAGACTTCATGATTTATATTATTTCACAATTAGAAAAACAAAAGTAAGAAAATAATTATTATTTAAAGTGCTATAAATATTACTAGATAAGCACTTCGCTCTTTGTCTCTCTCTTTCTCTCTATATATATACATTTTATGTTTAAGCAGAACAACTGAATAGATTAAAGTATGAACTGTAGACAAAATAAACAATGCTATAAAACTAAAGCATCATTTTACTTACTTAGGGTATAAAAGCATAAAATTTCTTTTCTTTGGGCATAAAATTCAAGCATTATTATTTCACGCGTAAAATATGCTTGTAAACTCTGCACAAAAAGAAAATGGAACATTTTTACATCTCCCGTTTCACGTGGAAGATTGACAAAATTTAATTTGAGTTTTTCGTGTCTCGGAAGCTCGACTTACGATATACATTAGATTTATATATAACATTGCTCTAACACAGGTATTGTGACACAAAATAAGACTTTTTCTGAAAGCATATATGGATTTTGTTTTATCTTTCGATTGTATGACTCAAACAATGCCAAAATATTAAATTTTGTGAAATTTAGTGAGAAAATTAACGTGAAATTTAAATATCTATCTTGGCGCACTTTTTTCATTTCAGCTAAGAATAGTTCAATTAACGAAGTTCTTAATTTTTATTAACTTATTTTTCTTTCGCTTTTATTGTGAAAGAGAGGAAAAAGGTGCATAATTCATTCAAAATGTATGTAAACCACGTCTTTATTATCGCTTATAACAAATATACCAACTTTCAAAACACGCCTTTACATAAATTCACGTATGTCCTGACAAATTTTGAATAAAATCTCTAAATTTTTGTACGTATACCTAGAAATGCAAAGACTTTAAGGTGATGCTAAAAATGTTACAGGCTATAATCCAAAAATCTTTTGGAAAAATTTATAAAAAAATTCTCAAAAAACACAAATTATAAAACTAAATCATAAAAATTCTGAAACTTTTATTTGGACTGATCGTGAATTTTAAAATATAAAAGAATTTGAATTTTTAATATAAAATTATTTAATTTGAAATGTGAAATTTGAATCGGATTTTGAAATTTGATAAGATTACACAAAGTTAAAAAATATTAATAAATATATACCAAATTTAATTAACAGTGATGATTGAAATTTTTGAGACCTAAGTTTTTAGAAACTACCCAGGCGATTTAAAGGAAACTTTGAATTTTGGGGTAATCGGAGGCATACGATCGTAATACGAAAAGAAATAGGTATGCCATCTAAGGAAATGTCCGATTTTGTGTGAAAATAAGTATGTTTGAATAAACCTGTATATAAATTTTATACAGGGTGAATTAGTACAGCGGCGACAAGCTGTCAAGTGAGCTATAGTACACCTAGACTATAGGAAATCACATAGGAATGCATGGTAGGAAACACATTTCTAGCACATTAGTGACGACACAAATGTCAAGACAGAAAGGAGACGAACGGGGTGAGAAAACATTATTCGGAGTATAGTTAAAAAAAAAACATAAAGACACAACGATCATCATCAAAAACGGTGTTGAAGGGACCATGCGTTATGTATTTTCCATTTGATGTTCCTTTCGTGATGCAGACCTTCCATGCGCCAGAGAAGTGAGGCCTGCATCACGGTCCGAGGTCATAATTTCGATAACCTTCTTTAATGACGATCGTTGTTTGTTTTTCTTCTTATTTGTAGGTTCTGCTGTACTAAACGTAACATTGTCTGTGTCCTTCCTTTTTTGTTTTTTCCGACCATGCATTGCTATGTGATTTCCCATTGTTTAGATGTATTCTATGTCTCCTGAAAGTTTGTCACCACTGTACTGATACACCCAGTATATATATATATATATATATTTGTGCAGAGGGGACAATGCTGAAACTTCTTATTATAAGGTTAGTTATTATAACAAATGCAAAACATTTTATTTATTGGCTTTAACTATATTTTCATGCATACATACACATTTAAAGCATCAAAAAATGTTACATTAAACCCTCAATGATAATTAACGTACATGATGGGAAACAATTTGAAAATTAAATTCCCTTGCAGCAAGTAATAGATAGAGCCTCATCGTTAAGAAGCAATGATTTCAATATTAAATTACGCGATTATATTAGTAATAAATAAATTAAGATACTGGGATTTGACCTTTCAATGACTCACTCATACTTAATACTGAATATTGAGTACCACATCCTTAAATGTAAATTATTCCACATTAATAAGAAAATAAAATAATAAAGCGTCTTTAAACATATTATTTCACACTTTCAGATAAATATTTTTCTACTAGAAAATACAATTATTATATTATTTTAAAGCCAACGCATTCTAGAGAATCTCGTTCTAAATGAAGTTTTTACTAATTCATCTCTATATGATAAGGTTGCGTTTAAAACTCTACATCAGATTATATCTAATTATTATTTAAGTTGTTATTCTAGTACTCGACAGGTTACAGCTCGATATTTTCGAGTTCAACAACGTGACCGAGTGACTTTAGTGCTTCTAGATACGTGATCTGACAAGTTAAGCTAATACTTTTCTTTTAAAGTTTTCTTTAGTTGGGATTATATTATATTTAATACCATTTTACCCTTTTAAATATTCCAACAGGATTCATGCTGGTATTTCGAAACATTCTTTATATCATACTGCAAAGAATTTATACTTCATATATATTCATAATCCAAAAAACTTCATCAAACACTATTTTGAATGTGTTCAGTCTCAAAACAGAAGTCAGAAAGCAGATATTAAGAACTTTAGCAACTAGCTAAGAGTGGCAGAAGTATCTCTATGATAGCTTTCGTATTCATAATTTTTGCAGAAGGTATTCCTTTTATTGTGGTGCTCCAAACTAAATTTCAAGTAGAATGTATGAACTTGATTAAAAGATCTTAAATTATGCGGTACATGATTTATATTATTTCACAATTTAAAAAGCAAATGTAATAAAATAATAATTATTTATTTATAATATTATTATAATTTATATATATAGATATGTTTTACGTTTATGAACAAAAACTGAAGAGCTTGAAGTATGAACTGTAGTCAAAGTTATCATCAAAGCTGTAAAGGTCACACGTCATTTTGCTTTCTTAGGAGGTAAATGTAATGCAAACACTGCACAAAAAGAAAATGGGACAGTTCGTCACTTCATTGGGCAGATTGACGAAATTTATATTGCGTTTATCATGCCTCGAAAGCGCGACTTAGTATATGTGAAATTTACATAGAGCAACTGATCTATCATAGGTACTTTTACACAAAATAGGACTTTTTCTGAAATCATATACAAATTTTTTGCATATTTCAATTCTACGACTCAAGTTATGCCTAAATATTAAATTTCATAAAATTTGGTGAGAAACGTAATGCGAGATTTAAAAAAAAAATATCTTGGCGCACTTTTTTCAGTTTGCGCCAAGAATAATTCACTTGGAGAAATTCGTAATTTTTGGCAACCTGTTTCTCTTTTGCTTTTGAAAGAGCGAAAAAATTCGCATCGCTCACTGTGACGAAGCGGTACAAAAACTGAACGAGTTTGAGATCAATAGCAGTATGTGGCAAACTGTTGATTCACTTTAAAATTTGCTTTATTTTTCAATCTTTTCTTCTTTTTTCGCAGAAAGCTTCTTTAAGAACAAGTTTTGTTATTCATATAGAGTGATGAATGCATTCAAATCATAAAACAAATAACCGGTGTTGAGTGTAGTTTTAGTTAGAAAAGATTAACTGTAACCGATGGAGAACTTGAAGTACTTCCCTTAACATTTGTTATTATTTTATGATTCGCATTTGATTATACAGCTATAGATATAGTTCAGCTATAATTATAAATTCGTTATGATAATGAAATTAAAACAGTGTATTTATAGTTAAATTTTGTTATATTATTACTTATGATTACATTTTTCGATTTTCATTATCAGATTGTCATTTGTGAAAGATGGTTGTGTTAGAGAACCTGAATAAACTATTTGGATATATTTTTTAAATTACCTAAATTTAAATTACCTTAAATTACCTACAGGTATTCAGAAATAAATACATTTGCAGGAGAGTAGTTAATAATTACCATATATCATTTAGAAATAAAAATTAAGCGTTTCTTACCTTCCGTTGGGGTTTGACGACGCCGAATTAGAACAACACAAGCTACTGTAACAATCAGTACTAATACCACTGTCGTGCAGGCTATGGGTATAATAATCTTAAGTTGCTGGAAGAGCTCTCTTTCACTGTCCATTATTGAAGTTAATGGAGGGACGGTAGCTAGAAATTCAGAAGAAAATAAAAAAATATTTTAAAAGAATTCTTATATTTTAAGCTTAGAATTATTACAGTAAAATTATATTATGCTCTTATATTAATTATTATTATCATAGATCTCTACTCTTTAAAAAATCTAAACAACCGTGAATACCTAAACGACTTTGTATACCAATTTTTGTCTCATTAATAAAGGTATATTGCACTATTCAATAAGTAAATCAATTTAATGTGCTTTATAAGCACATGCAAACAAAGAAACGCAGTTTTCAATAAAAACAATTCTGATAAGGGTGAGAACAAATGAAGCTACCAAATACATTAAACCTGATCGTAAATCGATAATTTGGAAATACTGTTTTATTATAAGTAGGAATTTTAAGAATTAATAAATATATTTGAATATATATTAATTAATTGTATTTTAATTTTATTCAGAACTTTTATCTCACTGTCATACTTTACATCGAATTCAAAAATGTTCTAACAGATTGCAACACTTTTTTAAACATTTGTTTTCAATATTATTTCTATTTAATCGTTTTATTGAAACTGCAATGCTGAAATAGCATTATTATTATTTCAGACATTATCAAGCTATATTTCGACTCTTTCTCAATTTAAACATGAGTGGACGCACATATTCTCTAATTATAATTTTAATAAGTCAGATCAAAAGTAGCTTGTCATAAAATACCTACTTTCTCGAATTAATAAATTGTAAAGTGTAGTTCTGAGCTGTAATTTAAAATGAATACCGCTTTAATGTACTTCACTTTCAGCAAATATTAAGTTGGAAGATATAGAGAATCATTTTAAATCCATATTACATGTTAAGTTATTGAAAAATCGAAGGGAATGAACGTACGTTTTCATAATGAATTTGTATTTGAAAAATGACATGTTGATGGATTATTTTAGCATTGGTGAGGTAGATACAGACAGATTATGGATTTCATATTTGAAATAAAATTTTAATACTAAATTTGAATCCTTTGATAAATATTTGGAGAATTACAGAGCAATGATTCACTGGAAATTACAATGAAATTCGAATGGAAAAAAATAAAAAAATAATAAACGTAAAATATTTCAATGTAACTTCTTGGAATTCTAAAATGCATTCTAAAAGTCATTTCTAATTTAAACAGGGCAAGAAAATCATTGAGAAAAGTAGCTCAAAATTTTACTGAAGAGTAATATTTTAAATAATATTAACATAAAACTGCAGTTATAAAAATAGGACTGTTTTCCTTAGCTTCTTAACTATTATGCTACATGAATTTATGTTTATGAAAGTACTTAAAGCTTGCAAATCAAATTGTTTTTAAAGATCTTAAAAGTTCAAAGCATTAAATCATTTTACGCTTTCAAGGAAATGATGCATAATTTTCCCATTCCATTTTTTGTAAGCAAGTATAAACATAAAAATATAAGAAATGGAGTAATATACTCATATAATAATTCATGTTTGTTTCAGATATTAATATTAAAATAAATTACTCTTTTAACTTGGAGATAAGTATACTAAATGTTTCCCATGCTTTATAAATGTTTGTTCATACTGTAATAACATAAATCTGCGTTTTTTCGTATAGTTCCTGCAAGAATATATATTTCCTTTATTCAGTAAAATCGCATGGCGAATCTTACTGTAAGTGTTATTACTGTTATGACATTTATTAAATAATTTAAAACATTTTAATCTGCAGTATAAATAGTAGGGTTTAGGACATTTACGCCGTCGGGACATTTCGCCGTCGGGATATTTCGCGGTCGGGATATTTCGCGGTCGGGATATTTCGCCGTCAGGATGTTTCGCCGTCAAGACATATTTTCTTTACATGACTGACTGTATTATATCTTTCAGTGTTACGTTCGTATTAAATTTATTTAGTTTAATAATTTTGTTTACCTTTTCTATACTTCGTAAAAGTTGTGTGTAAAAAATGTGGAAATTATCGACGACCGATGTTGACTTAGCGAATACCTAGCCATGGACCTTATTAAGAGATAGACTAACTCAGTGGGCGGCGCGCGTGTCACCAACATGTCGGCAAGAAAGAGTAGGGACGAGCTGGTTTACTTTAACACTGAAACCTATGGCATTTGTATCACATAACTCTTTTTACTTATTAAACGTGATACATTGTATAGTGATGAGATTATGAAAGCCACAGTTTTTTCCAAATAGGATTTAATATATCTCATTAAAGCACTTTTTACTGCATTTCGCGCATTTACTTCACGCGTAATTCTTGTACAAACATCTTCACTTTGGTAAAACGGTAAAAACTCATTAAACGGTATAAACGGTTCATAATTTTAAGCACAAAATTTATGAATTTAATTTTGCGTAAAAATAAAGTAAAATTAAATAAGATTGATAGTACGTGATGCTTTGAAATAAATAAAAGAAAATTAAACAAGATTTGATTTTTTTTTTTTTTAAATTTAATGAACATTTTCAGGCAGTGATTTTTCCAAAGTATAATAACATTACAAAACGATCCTATTTATTTGATTATATGATCATTAAGTTATTAACATTAAAGTGGATTAGTTATTTTAATAATTCATAAAATTCGGAGCATAAAATTTTCTGAGCATAATGAAGGGGAAAAAATATAAAATAAAATCTAGAATCACTCAGATTTTATATTACGTGCAAAAGGAACCTTTTTTTTTTAAGTTTTGTGTGTTACCTATATTTATTGAATATCATGTTCTTCGCCCGTAAACCACATACATTTGAAAACAGCATATCTTTAGAATTTCCGCACTGGAGATAAAACTGTAATTTTCCGTACAGTGCTAGCTCTAAACTCGTTGAATTTTTAATGAACAATTCGTTAAAGTTTTACAAAATATGAAATAGATTAAAACAAATTCGAAATTCGGCCGTTCGAAATTCGGCCGGTGCCTATGTTCGGGTGGAGGATTACATTATTCAAAATTTGATGGCTCTAGATACTGTCGTTTTGTCACAGTGCAAGAAACATACATGTATTCATGTAGATTCTTCATTATTTAATTTCCTTACATATAATACAAGGCGATAATATTTGGTAACAACAATTTGCAAGGAGACAGGGACACTTATAGTAAAACAGCGCAAAATGCCGCTTCGAAACTAACAGCCTTTCTAGGCTATTGCCGCCTATAATTAAATTAACAGTAAGTAAAAAAAAATCTTATGCAGAACTAAAAATAAATTTAAAAAATAATAACTGCAAAATTAATTATAACGGTTAAATACAATTTTAATATTAGAATTAAATGTATAAACATTTTTAAGGAGTCAAAAGTGTTTATCACGATGTATTATGAAATATAATTGAAATAAAATTCCTTTATAGAAATTGTGCTATAATACTCATCATTTTAAAAAAAGCAGCAGAATTTATAATTTTAAACTAAACCTTAAAAAATTCCTTTTTAAATATTTTAGTACTTTTTACTTATTTACACACCAATAAAAAGCATAAAAATTGTAAGAGAAAATTGCTTGTTTGAAATTTTCTATTAGTTCAGATTTAAGATATTATTTTCTAAAAGAAGTGGTTACAAATTTCCTTACAGCATAGGAAAAGCTAAAATTATATCCATGCCTGAAACCATGTAATAGCTTTATAATTATTTGTAACGTTAATTATGCTTGATAAATATGCTAAATTTTTAAAAATCTATCTCAATTTCAAAAATAAAAATATGTAGAAATTCTAATTTGTGAAAAGAGGCGTTACAACCAGCTTTTTCTTGACAATTATACACGCTGCAATAGGAAACCAATGTTAAATTTCTGCAAGTCGTCCCTACTCCTCCGGATGGGATCAAGGTGACAGCCGGCAACGCCTCAGATGAGGGAGAAAACCCGTTGGGGGTAGTCTATTTCTTATAAGGTCCATGTACCTGGCGAGGTGACGTCATCATAGCTTAGCACAGTGAGGAGCAGTGGAGACAACGCCAGTTAGCGTCCAGACGTGGGGAGGAGCGGAGGCAAGCAGACGGCTTGTAAATCCTCCAAGAGTTGGTGGAAACAGATGGTTTCTTTCGATGTTTAAGTTCCTTGTAGCCAAGCTGATCATATTATCTAAATCTAGCTGTGGAACTGATAGTGTGTGAGAAATATTCATCATTACATGAATCCTGTGTAGACTGAGTATAACTATCACGACATGACCTGCAATATTAATTTTTACTTAACTTACCTTTTATTACTTTTATTTATTTATTATTATCAAAATAAAACATTTAATAATGCAATAGACGTGGTCTCCGTGTGTGTTTTGAAAGTAAATACTAATTATATATAGTTGTTTAGGAGATATAAAGAAATTATACATAGTTAGTTGGAAAATTATGTCAGTATCAAAGAGATCTGGGACTAAAACTCTGATATAACAGAAGTTGTATTATCGATTTTAAAATTCTACGGGTGCAATATTTACATGAGTCGTATGTCTTCAAATGTTACTCGGCTCGTTCAAAGAAATCACTCATACAAGCAGGAAATTCACATTTTTGTGAAATGCGAATGAGAAAAGGAACTACTTTGGAGTCTTGTCAGCACATTACTCTCTTAGAAATAATATGTCATGTCTAACTATGTATTTGTATAAAATTTTACACGAAAACATCTTATGCATTATTTTATATAAAATGTTTATTAAATTAAATTATTAAACTAAACATTAAACTAAATCAAATTAATATAATACGGAAAGATATAATACGGTCATTTAAAGAAAAAATATGTCTTGAGGGCGAAACGTCCTAGCGGTGAAACAGCCCAACAGCGAAACGGCCACGGCGAAAAGTCCCATTTTCTAAATAGTATAGCTAAACGTTATGCCGTTTCTAACTCTTTTTTAATAAATAAGCTGAATAATAATAATAATTTTATTACTTTTATTTTGATTTAAATTTGGATTTGATGAAAATATAAAGCATTACAACAGCTGATTTCCTGTTTATTGTCATGCTGATGTCCTGTTGTGACG